GATGGGGAGTGGGGTAGGGGTATTCGGCGGCATCTGCTGATCTCCGCGAGTGGCATATAGAGAGTCTCCCCGAGGTAGTCGGCCGCCACGTCTCCTGCTAGGAGTCGTGGCAAGCGACCCGGGCGATGTAGCGCTGTTCGCTGTGGCATTTGGCGCGCTCAGAAGGGTAGTCGACGCCGCATTCGGGTCTTTTGATGGACTACCAGCATCGTTATTATCCACGCTAGCAACTTTGGCTGACGGGGTCTCCGGGATTGGTCTTGCGGTTCCATCGACATCTTCGGCGTGAAAAACCATAAAGGTGGCATCTATATCAAGGTTCGGGTGAAATTCTTCCCAGCCTCGCTCTTCTCTAGGTTTGTATCCTTCGCTCTGGACAACGGCAGCAGCTACCGCGGCTGCAGAACTGATCTGCATTTCGTCATCCGCATCGACTCGAGTTGCAGTTCGGGTGCGTGTGCTACGTTCTGGTCTGGGAAACACGGCGGGGGAGGCCGCACCGTTTTGCACACTGTGCCGAACTCGGGAGCGGCTGGTTGTCGCGACGGCCGATTCGCCTTGCTCGTTTCCTGCCTGGTCAGTAAGCCTGTTGGCAATTGTAGAGCCGGTCGCAGTGTATCGTCGTCGCTTTGCAGGGGGTTCGGTAGCAGCTACGATGCTGCCATCACGAGCGCGTCGCACGGTGCTGAAGGAGCCTTTCGGTCGTCCGCGAGGTCGCGAAAGAGTGGTCTGCCTTGGGGTTCTTGGGCTCGGTGCCATCGTGTATTAGATGTTGAAATCACCTTTGATGGGGATTTGTCGATGATAAAGGAGGCCCTAATCAGCGCGTCGCAAGGAGGAGGCGAGGGGGGTTATCATGCGGTTGAAGTTGGCAAATAGGCATTTGCGAGGCAGCATTCAGAGATCAGGCACGACCTACGATAAAACTGACGAATTTTGCAGGGTGTTGCTTCAAATAAAGCATCGGGGAGTTGGGTCGGGGTTGAGGAGATGTCGTCAGGAAATGGCGAAAAGAAGCCAGGACGCGATGGTGAAGTCGGCTGGAGGTGTTGGATCTAATCCCTAAATGGAAAGGTCTGGCGCGCCACATTTACGTAAGCGTAAGCAGCCCCTCACCAACCCCGGGCAATCGGTACGATTGGGGGGGCAGGTGCAATCCCCGATCTTGGATCAGCCACTTACACCACGTAGATCCTTCTCCACAGATACTTTAGGTATCACCTTTTTCGGACGAACCTTTTGTCATGTGTATCTTGACTATTTGGACGCGATATAATTCGAGCAGCACTACAATGACTGCGCAGTGTCTGCCTTAGGAGAGAAATGATAGTTATTTGCACATCCCAATTGATTCTTTAGGTACTCTTTTCACCTCGTCTTCGACATCCGTTACTATTAGCGACAATAAACGAAACAAGAACTACTCCCAGTTTGGCAAACTTACTAGTCAGGTATTTGCTCTTCCTCGAGGCCATCTACTCTGCGCACCAATCAAACGCAGACACACATCCCAAAAAGGGGTGGGGTCTCACATATTTTGGCCCATCAAAGCCAAGGGGGTAGCTTTCCTCAGCCCTACAGGGCTCGTCAGTTACCAGTCATAGCCATGTGCTAATTTTGTAGCGCCCTTGTCTCGAAATGCTGTTCCTGTCGATCCGGATCTAGACCTAGATCTGGACCTGGACCTTCACCCCGATACACTACCCAAATGCCGTCATACCGGGTCTTGACCCTGCATGCCATTCCCGCAGCCGCCGTCTTATCTTGGCTACCCTCTTGCTTCCCGGAGTGACACCATCGAGGCAACTCAATCTGCGCCCCCCTCTGACCGTTGCTGTGTTTACATACGGCGGCATCACGGTCTCTAATTGATCATCCTAGACCTATCTTGAGTAAACCTCGGCTCTTCAACAATGACCACATTACGACCAGGGATCGACTCGAACCAAGCGACCCGAACGGTGGCCGGCTCCCATGTACCACTAGCTAATCAGTATGCTAATACAATTGTCATTATCATTGTGTTTCTTAATCCTTGATGGACCTAAGTCCGATGGATTATGTGGACGGCCACTCCAGAAGCGGCCACCATGTTGGGCTTACGGTCTAACCCGCATGCCACTTACTGTAGGGCCGCGATGCATTAAATCCCATCTCAACATTTAGGCATTCGCAATGTGCCGTTCGCATCGGTTGGCCATACCAATCCAAAGAGATCGCCGAATTTTCGCGCGTGGTGCCCCACAGACTATATTCGAGATTTTCATCTCAACACCAATCTCTAACAAATAATCACACTCTCCGAGTAATAATGAATAGGACGGCATCATATATTGATGCGAGGGGAGCTATGCTCTATGCTAGTAATCTAGGAAAATTACCTGAGGTCTCCTTTTTACACGATTCCCACTATTTCTACCTCCATAACCTCCATGGCTTCGCCAAATTTATTCTTCTGTTTCACATTCTAATCTATGGGGTTTATTACCGCAATCTTCAAATGACAGGGGGAAAAAAACACGACGAATCTGTTGCATTCCAATAATGAGGCATACTTCGAGACGTGTCGCAGTTGACGCTGATATTTACTACGGTTCTGTTGGCAGAATCCTGCGATCCAGAAGGTGGAGTTCTCGATATTCTCCAAGAATCCATTGTGTTCGCTTCCTAGAAGCAGAGTACAGCAACGAACTAAACTCTACGTCAGATCCTCCCTTTCTCATGCAAGTATACTGCCGTCATATCACCCGCTTAATATGTTTATCGTTGCCCATGTACGTAGACTCCATCAACCAAATACTTCTCGGCTTATAACACTATAGTATTATCTCGTCGGATCCCTTCGACCACTGGAGTTGGAGATCCAGAGTGTTGAAGGCTGGAGAGGCGTCGATGCCAACTCAAAAGTCGCGACCGGAAGTTACCCCTAGGAGATAGCATCGTTAAAATAAACGGCAGGTTGGTTTCCGAGCGCTGCCTAGATTTGGGCAATGTCCAATGCAAGTTGCTGCCCGTACCAGGTTATTTCATTGGTGTAACCCGCCCGGTCCGGCTTACATTCAACAAGACTTAATCACTTAATTCGATCGACACCCATCTCTCCCTATAATTACGGAGTTCGGGGACGCTGCTGCTAGAAGGGTTACAGTGTAATAAGATACACCTATTCATAATACGATGCCGATTTCTCGATTCCTTAAAGCGCCCTTACGTCAACGATTACAGTCGCCTCGACTTAACATCTTTGTCTTCATGCTCCAGGTCTTCGGCTCTGCGATAGCAGTTTACAGAACCTCATCTTGATAAGAATCCCCAAGTAGGCTTCCTAGGGACTTTACTTTGCTTTACGTGCAGGCGACCGATTTTCGACCTCGGCCCCTGAGTTTCTCGGTGTATATAACGGACATCAGCCACGCCTTTAATGAACCAGGCACCTAAACCATTGGCTATTATTCCTCGCGACGCGATGTGGCAAATTGCCTTTATCAACTGTCCCAGATCACTTCCACACGCAGGGTTCCTCTCGCAATACTCCACGTGTCCATAGGTATTTATCATAACTGCCTACAAGTATAAGCACACACTGCTCCGTAGTAGATATATTCATCGGCTCTCTAGAAATCACTTTTTACGACAAATGAGTAAAAATGCAATGGACTACGTCGGAATAAGATATAATCCATGCTGGCTAAAAGGAGAACTGTACGTAACTAGGTACGTATTCCTGTACGTTTCCCCTTACGACCGCGTCAAGTACCTAAGTCCTTAAACGAAAAGCACAAATTACCGAGGAATAAGGAAGCACTTGGCGACTCAGTAAGTACGGCAGCCTAATAATCTAGGCCAGGTTAATTCTCATGGGTTCAGGGGCTTGCGTCCACACCCCAAGTGCACCGTGCCTTGAGCTCTCCACAGCGCGACATACCTTAACTGTCTTATCTTCATCGATATCACGCGACACATTCCCTCGCGGAGAACACCGTCAACAGCTACCAACCCATGGGTAATCGAGATCTATTCTCATTATATTACGCTGCCGGCCAGAGCTTTCGTGGTAAGAAACCATCACCATTGTCGTCAAACCCCGCCACTGAAATGCTGTATCGGTAAGCTGCTATGCCCGGGTCCACCAAGAAACCCCTGATGAGCTTCCGAGCTGCAGCTTGATGTAGTCCATCGTGTTCTACCCCCATGCTCACTCACCCTGCATAGTATTTCTAGAGAGTAGAAGTCCCGTGGATATTTGTTCGGGACTTGGTATTTGTATAAATCTTCAGCTCGAGAAAACTCAAGTGATCGCTCGCTAAGCGTAATCGAATGAGCAAGGTAAGCATCGTTTATTCTACCTTGTGACATGTAAGATGTCAGAACCACATGCGCTTCTGTACGTAAGCCTTATCCTAGAGGAGCGCAGGCGGGCGCAGTTCAGCTTGCAAGCTCAGCATCACGCCTTACATGTATTCCTTACGCTTGATGTATATATACAAGTTGCGACATGGAGACTCTCGAACGCGAGATGCTAAAGCCACACACAGTACGTCACGCAATGACCAGTATCAGCAGGCATCCTATGAACGCAAGGATTGGCCACCCACCTCAAATATAGAAGTATTCCCGCCTCAAAACGCGAGACGCGGTATGTAGCGAGTGTACCTCGCATAGCTCAAGCTATACAGGAGAGATTCAAGACTTCCAACTGCATAGGCTTGTCGAAACTGGACCTCCGTAATAGCACTGATAGAAACGCATAGTAATAGATTGCATGGCTTTGATACCGAGAAAAAAATCATCACTCTTTTCCAGCAACCCCTATCTATCCACAATCAGCGGCCCCCCTTTTACTACTCTCACGCCCTCTTATATCCGTAGTCGCCCACTAGCTTCGCCCCGTCCCCGCCGACACCGGCAAGCCCGGCGCACAATATCTATTGGTTAGATCAAGTACCTAGGTAAGCAAGCAAGCAAGTAAAAAGAAAAGAAAAGAAAAGAAAAAAAGGAACTGAGAGCTGCAGGATTCGAACCTGCGCGGTTTCCCATTGCGGGCTTCAGGTGTCCGGATGAAAGAACAGAAGACCTAAACACAACGCCTTAACCACTCGGCCAAACTCCCATATTGTACATCAAGATCGAACGCGGTGCAAGACAAATGACGTATAGCACATCATATTCAAAAGATCTAGATACAAATCAGCGATCGAACTTACCAGGTAGGTTAGCTATCCTGATTTATCGGAAGTGATCTGATTATCTGGGCTCTGCATGGATGCTGGTTAGTATCCAAGAGCGAGCCTTACTCGTGGTGTGGCATCTCTAACCACCATGCTGACAAAGCAGCACGATCTGTGATATGGTGTACGTTTTAGGAGTGAAATCTAGAGTAGACCAAAGACTTGAAAGCCTAGCGAAGCTTCGTCTGATAGTAAACGCATCCACAACGCTAATGTAGCTAAGGGTAGCCTCTGTCCTGTGCACTGTATGTTAGACAATACCGTCTACATCTTGTTAATAAGCCTACCACGGCGTGAACAAGAAGTAATCCGAGGCAATTTTATATACCTACCTAGCTTCATACCTCACGTGAACCGGTAACGCATAAAGAAAGGGAAGTCATAGTGTCCCCAGTCTACGACAGTCACAGCAAGTTTGGGTAAGACGTTATGTTCGGAAGACGGCGAAAATGCATGTTTTTTCATTAACCATTCCCTCCACCGGGAAGACGATCCGTTCTAATCCTGAACCACCACAGCCCCGGACCCTGTTTTCGAATGCAGAACAGTCGCAGATTTTCATGCCACGGGATGCCACAAGGAGAGAGGAGGGATATAAAGGGGGATCTCGTCCACAACAAAAGCCACCGGCCCATCCGTGACCCACAAACGCCTGTCGAGGAGAGAAATCGAAAAAGCATGGATATAAAAGGCAGCAAATCAAAGCCGTAAACACAAAACGCAATGCTCTCTCTCGTCCCTTCCAACTTGGTTCTTCGGTCTAAAGGCGACTCGACATGAAATCTCCTTTAAAAAGCGAACCTGCGTTCCTCTCCATGCGCCGACAGGACTCGCGAGAAATAGCCGTCTACCGCCCCGCGGGAATCTCATGAAAAAAAAAAAAAAAAAAAAAAAAAGAGCAGAAGACATCAAACCTGCAGTGTCACCGCAAGATTGAATAATGCAAATGATCATGAACCCTATCCGTTAAACTCCGAAACGCTATGCACCGTAAGACAGACGTAAATATAATATAATGCAACAATGAGGTGCTGGGATATCTCAAACCACAATGATGATATAGGGGTAATGTTATGCCACCAAAAAGGGCCACCTTGAAGGCGGAAAGAAAAACATGGCTATCTGGACCAAATGGACCAATCAGCCCATCGAGCCACTGCTGGGGATGGCCTGCGCACTAGGCGTACGAGTGACGGGGCTAGGTCGTATAGTTGATGCGGGACTGTAGTCTCCAGCGACGAACGCCGGCCGAGACGATTCCCAGCTCTCCTCATTAAGGACGCTAAGATAGCCATTGCCAACCTTATCTCGTAACGCCTCAATCTTCTGTCGGTAGATTTCGCCACTGACGTTCCAATCTTGGGCTTGCTTCCATAGGTCCGGAGTATCCTCACTCAAGAACGATGCTGGGGACGGCAGAATAGTGCTAGTATTGATGCGTGGCACCTCGGGCGAATTGGGGGCGCTAGATGATTTCATTTCTGAAAGTACCTTCGGCGGTAAAGCCTGTGTCTCGGGAGGCTGAGAGACACGGTAATTACTTTCCGATTCCATTGCCGCCGTGGATATATTGGGATTAATCGTATCCATACCGGTTGGCTTCTGCGGAACATCGTCGTGTTGAACACGGTCATTCGTAGCGAGATCGACTATCCTGCGTTTCGGAGTACGTCGACGTCTCGTAGAACTTGTATTGATCTCGCTGGCCACTGCTTTGGGCGTAGGTCGAGATGGCCGTTCTTTGCGTAGCACAGCAGGTTCCCTTGGTGCCTCGTGAATGATAGCTGGCTTGCTTACATCCACAGCAGGAATTTCCGGGACGGGAGGCTTCACTACAGGAACAGCCTCAGGGATGGCGACACGATCTACAAGGTATCTCCTCTCAGACATCGTCGGGCCTGAACCATCGATGATTATATCTTCTGTGTACCCTGGAGTGTTGCGGAAAAGGTTGAAAATCGTGACACGATAATCCCGATGAGTCCGCGTAAAAGGGTTACCCTCGACATAAATCTCGCGAATATCAGGAATCCCAGTTAGACGAGCCAGCTCCATTGGATCAGTCAAACGGTTGTCTCTTAGATCCAGCCTCTCTAGCGGGAAGAGCTTCTCGATGCCAGCGATCGACTGGAGTCGGTTGGCTCGGAGATTCAGGGCGCTGATAGCTGGCAATGGGTTGCGCAGCAAGGAGTGGAGAGAGTCGATCATGCAATGAGAAAGATTAAGAGCACGGAGGGCAGTGAGGGTGGCCAAGCTATCGGGGATCTGTGTAAATAGATTCGTAGAGAGGTCCAGGGAGCTCAATGTGTTGGCCAGAGGAGCAAGACTAGCTGCTGGGATTACCGTTAACGAGTTATCCGCTAAGCTTAGGTGCTTCAAGAATTGCCACTTCGAAGCTGGGAGAATGCCCATGGCTAATAGGTTAGAAGCACTATTCCTGGGGTTATGCCACGAATCGGATAAACTCGAATGCGAGCTGCCGGAGCCGGAACGCTTGACTTTATGCGAGCCTCTTGAATTTGTGGTGTGGTGACGAGAGGTGACAGGGCGATTGGGAGAGTGACTTCTCGGTCGTGAAGCCTTGCTAGATTTCGGTTGATCCGTTTCGATCCTAGGAACCGAAGGACGGCGGTAATCCTGAACAGATGTGCTCTCTGTCGACTCGGTGCTTACAGATCCCACGTGGATGTCCGCTACAGAATATCGACGCTCTGGATATTCCGGCATGGCAGTAGACCTATGCGGATCCGAATACGAAATCGTAGGACTTCTTCTCGGGTTTGAGACGTGCGCGTACGCATTGGTAGGGGATGACTGCGCCTTCGAAGATCGGCGCCGCCTTTTGTCCATGTCGTCTAGCACGATGTCAATGAGGATGTCTGCCGGGTCCTCAATATTAGCGCGCTTGAGAGTGAGAGATCGGATTTGCTCTGCTACGCGGTCCCATCCAAAGAACTGCCTAAAATCGATCCCATTAACTTCCAGTGCCTGGAGGTTCTTGAAGATATAGAGGGGAACGGCAGAGTCGAATGGGAATTCTTCATATCCTTTGATCAGCTTCGTCCGCCAGTCCGGTGCGAGTCGAAGGCATGGTATCTTGGTGAAGGCAGAATAGAGATACTTTATCTCAGCTTGTAAAGCGGCCTTCTGTCTCTCCATTCGCGCGGCAGATATACTCGACCCTATCCCAAAACTGCTCCAGATAGCAGACATTCCCGACATTACACTTCGAATGCTCGATACAGATCGTATCGATACTACATCAGAACCGCGGCTCTTAGTACGCTGAGAAGAGCTCAAGAATGACACGTAATTGGCCGCGGCTGAAGTGTCGTGTAAATTCTCCAAGCGTACTTTCATAGGTCCAACTGGTATTCCAAGCTCCTCGAAGCGAGATAGTAGGTAGAATAGGTGGTGTGGCGTGAGGCTCAATCTCGCTGATTTGACATTGGTAGATGTTAAGCTCAACGAGCTAAGCGATAATGCCGTCGCAAGGGGACCCGATACCGAAGCAGAGGTTGCCGGGCGTTCAGGTATCGTGGGCGATTTTGGGACCTGAATCGACGAGACACTCTGACTAGGGCCATGTCGGGGGCCGGCCTGTCTTCGGAAAGGCAAGGCATTTGCCAGAGCCTTTTCGTTCGTCCGCACGTAGACGGCCAGGCGCTTTCGAACGTTAACTTCCATCTAATATCGGTATCACCAGGGTCGCAACATACCTTGAGATACTGCTCCCCGTCTTCTGAATCCATTTTCTTTATCGTCGAGGAGACATGGGGGATAGCTTATAGCAAGATCCTCGATATGATTCGGCTATGGACCACGGAAGGTTCTCGGATGTCTCCTGAGAATTAAGGTCGCTGGGTTCTATTTGGAAGAGGCTCCTGATGGTGCCTGTCTAGTCAAATGACCTGTCTGACTGTAGAGTGGAGTGTTAGTGTTTGGTAACCGAGACTTGGACTCATCGTGACCGTCTGAAAAGATTATCTATAATATCTGCAGAACAAGATGCTTGTTGCCTGCTAGCCAACTAGCCATGAAACGGGGAAGAAGAGGAAATGATATTGCCCATGATTCGCAGGAAATCAAAGTAGATGACTTTAATATCGGTACTATACACACACGTGTAGAACAGTAAGGTGAAGCCACTCCCATAGAAGGAGTTGCGCATCCGGTCACAGATATATCAAGGCCAGTGAGAAGCAGGTTTTCAGAGAAGGCAGCAAGGCAACTCGGTCGAAAGACATGTGTCACAGCCCACGTAAATACAAAACAGCATGATTTAGGTGAGGCAGGTTCAGAGAGAAGGGAGTGGGAAGATAGATGGAAATTGGTCACAGGTGATAATGTACATACCTCTATATTCACAATCGTTTGTTTTTCTTCCTTTCGAGACGAACGGCAGGGAATGTGAGGTCGACTCTGGAATGTGCAATAGCACTATTAGTAGTAGAGGAAGAAGGTCCGAACCGGAGCAAGACCGGGGAGAGATAAAGGGGAAAGAGTCGAGAGCGACGACAAGCTATTCACCTCTCGACTTTCGACATTTCACCCAGGAGGAAGAGGGTGTCGAAGAAAATGTGGTAAAAGAAGGATAGGAGGTTCTCGCGGCTGGTTGGGGGAGACGCAAAGAGTTATACCATTGGAAGTACCTAAATAAAATTGGACGAGGATAGTACAAGGGATTGCCCGACCGCCCACTGACCTACTGCGACTAACTGCGCCCACATGCAAAATGCCAAGGCTAGCAAGCCTGCAAAGCCCAAAGCAAGCCCATACAAAATTGGTGTGGTGGACTTGGGTGGGTAACGACTTGCTAGGGTCTTCTCGGTCAAGTGTGGGTATCCGGTGTCCACCTGAACAAGCGAATTGGGGCAAATTT